GCATAAACTTGGCCGCCGCTTTTTTCGGGCTTGGGGCTTTGCCGGAGAAAAGCGCCAGTCTAGACGGGCTCTTGCGGAAAATAAAGCCTTTTCTGGAAGATCCCTTGAAAGTAGGAATAAGGGATCTTCCAGAAAAGGGCTTATTTTCCGCAAGATCCCATCTAGACTGGCACTTTTCTCTGGCTTATCCCCAAGCCGGAAAAAAGCAGCAGCCATGTTCATGCAAATGCCGTGGGGGATATTTAAATCCCCCGGGGCATTTGCAATTCTGACTGGTCTCATTAGCATCCCTTTTCTGGAAAGGGCTGCCAATGTAGACACAGCCTAAGGGTGTGTCCAAGTTTCCACTTCTTCTTGATCACCTGGGCACACACCTTCCATTCACACCTAACAATTGTATAGAGCTTCAGACAAGATCAATAGTTACTAGGGGTACAACTTAATTTGCAATATTAACAGGGAGCAAGGCCTTGCAGAAACAGTATCTAATCATGAGAGACAGAGAAAGAGAGCTTATAAGCAAGTCGTTACATCAAATCATTATGCATCATACTTACAATTTTATAACCAATATTAAAATATACATTTTTGCTACATTAGAACCAACAGAGAAATCTTTTGATGGGTTTCCCTTCTGCCAGGAAAGGCCACTGACTCCCACTGGGCCCCCTGCAGGCTGCATACAGATGTGGTCAGCTCATCTCAAAAAAAGATCTCTTGGCATTTGAAAAGGTTCAGAAAAGGGCAACAAAAATGATTATGGCTTTAGAACGGGTCCTGTATGAAGACTTGGACTTTTCAGCTTAGAAAAGAGTAGAATAAGGGGGGGATATGATAGAGGTCTATAAAATCATGACTGGTGTGGAAAAAGTGAATAAGGAAAATATATTTACTTGTTCCCATAAGAATTAGGGGTGACCATATGAAATTAATGGGCAGCAGTTTTAAAACAAACAAAAAGAAGTTTTTCCTTACTCAGCGCATAGTCAACCTGTGGAACTCCTTGCCAGAGGATGTTGTGAAGACTCGGACTTTAACAGGGTTCAAAAAACAGCTAGATAAATTCATGGAGGAGAGGTCCATCAATACTTATTAGCCAGAATGGGTAGGAAAGGTGTCCCTAGCCTCTGTTTGCCAGAGGCTTGGAAAGGGAGACAAGAGAGGGAGAGGGAAAGGGAGACAAGAGATTCCCTGTTCTGTTCACTCCCTCTTGGGCACCTGGCACTATCGGCAGACAAGACACTGGGCTAGATGGATGTTTGGTCTGACACGCTCTGGCCATTCTTATGGCCTCTCCTCTTAGTCCTCTGGAAATCCTAGTCTGGAAAGCGATGTGGGGACAAGAAGCAGGCCAATGCCCTCTCACAACCACAGAAAGGCCAGGTGGGCAGCTGGTTCCAGAGTCCTGCATTGTACAGCACACATGGGCAGAGGGCTCCCATCCCTGCCATGCCACGCTGAATATGGGGCTTTCTGATCGCAGACCCCTACCCGGTCACGGCCCAGCCAACAGAGCAGAAGAGCCAGCCCAGGGCATGGTGCACCGAGCGCACTTACCCTCCATTACCAAGACTACGACAGCCATGCTTCTCCTGCCCAGCACAGTGAGCAAGGAGCATGAGGGGCATGTGAGGCAGAGGCACTAGGCCAAGTGGTCTCCAACCATATTAAGCACGAGATCACTTCTTGAATTTAAGTGCAATCCAGGATCTACCTCAAATATAAATACCCTGGCCCCGCCTCCTTTGTGCCCCTTCATTGAGGCCCCGCCTCCCCTGCTCACTCCATCCTCCTGCCCTTCCCCCCATCCTCCCTCACTTTCACCAGCCTGGGGCAGAGGGTTGGGGTGCTGGCTCTGGTCTTGGATTAAGGGATTGGGAGTACAAGACGGGCTCTGAGCTGCTCTTGGGGCAGGCAGTTGGGGTGCGGAGGGGTTCTAGTGCAGGCTCTGGGAGAGTGTTTGGATACAGGGGTACTTGGGACCGGGGAAAGGGTTTGGGGTACCGGAGGGGGTTCATGGGATTCAGGCTCCAGCTGGGCCCTGTTACCTCAGGTGGCTCCTGGGTGAGGGTGCGGTGAGGCTAAGGCAGAGTCACCCCTGCCTGGCCCTGCACCGCTCCCTAAAGCAACCAGCAAACTCCATCCCAAGCCCTGTTGTTCGCCCTGCTCTACTCTGTGGAGATAGGATACAGGATGGGAGAGGGGGCACCTTGACATGGACACCCCTTCACAGCCTCCCCTGCCCTTCACAGCAAGCAGGAGGCTCCTGGGGATGGGGGGAGGGAGACACCTCCAAGGCAAAGGGCAGGAGAGACGCAGCAGAGGGGGAAGGGGCAGCTGAAGGGCTGGCACATGGTAGCCTCTTGGCCACACCAGTCAGGATCCCCTGTCAGAGGCTCCAAGATCTACCAGTAGATCCCGATCAGACCGTGCGAGCAAAGCCCATTTTCCGGCCTGGGGCTCCCTGCTGCTCACCACGCAGGGGCCAGGGGCTTCAGGCCTGATACTTGGTGGCACTAGACATACCCCTGGTGTCTTGTTTTTTAAAGACTGGCCAAGTAATCCAGCCAAGACCTAGTCCTCATGTGGCCTGTAATGTCCTACATCTCTGAGATGCTTTGTTCTGGCTTCCTCTACAGCTGGGTTGGATACCAGTACCCTGGCTACCGGGGCTACCAGTATCTCTTTGAGAGAGGAGACTTCAAACACTGGAATGAATGGTCTGCCTTCCAGCCCCAGGTCCAGTCGATCCGTCGCATCAGGGACATGCAGTGGGATCAGAAAGGGCGCTTCACCGCTCCTAGCGCGCCTTCAAACTGAGCACAAGCCCTGCTAGTGAACAACTTTGGGCCATGCTGCACCTCAACACCTCTGCTACTTTTTGTGAACAGCCCCCATCTCTCCTCTCTCTCACACTCCCTTGCTCAGCACTTTCCTTGTATATTGCACATTTATCGGACGTCCTGTACATTGTGATGCCAAATAAATCAATACCAAAAAAAATCAGAAGGTTACAGTGGCCTCAGAGTGTGTTTTGCATTGGATTGTTCTCAGGGCATTTCCTATCCCCTCTGCCTTCCTGACCCTATTAAATGGCTCAGTGTTTCTTTCTGTGTTGGACATTGGCAGGGGTTGGGAAGTCAATGGTTCTGAAGACATTTCAGGGTTGAGGACTGGGTTTGTCCTGTGTCAGGGTTTCTAAGTAAGGGCCAAAGCTTAGAACAGGACCAAATATTTGACATTATGGGGCACATTCATCCTCTGGTGTGCCTGGCCTCTGTTGTCTCCAAGCAGAGAGCATCCAACCCATTGGTGGCCTTGCTCTGTAAGTCTATCTACACGTGCAGACAGACTCTTCTAGCCACGTTCCTATTCCAGCTATTTCACCAGAGCAAGAAAACAGGTCCTGTTCCTAAAGTGCATTACCTTTTAACTCCATATGGTTAGGCCATACGGTGATGTGTGGCTGAGAAAAGTCCTGGTGGTGAAGAAGTCCTGGCACGGAAGGGGTTAAAAGGGATGGAGTGAGCTGTACTGGCTTACAGGTCCTTGGAATGGCATTTAATGGGATAGCAGGTCAGTGGCACAGGGCAAAACTAACCATTCAGTGCTGATCAATATTGTGTCATTGTGTGATGAAATCTCACACATCATGTTTTCAATGGGTCTGCAGCTGTGAGGACTCATTAGCTCCCATTAAAAAACTGGACACCATCCTTCAGTTCTTTTGAAGAATGCAGGCCTCTACTCTGTTCCACTGGAGGAGATAAGGAGTGAATGGCAGCCTAACCCATGGTGTTAAGATAAGTGGGAGAAGAGCTACCAGGGCCGTCTTCACCCATGTGCAGAATACACAGTTGTGTAGTGCACCTGAAAATTTGGGGCATCACTGGGTCTTAATGCCCCCCTACCTGCTCCTTCTTGTCCCTGGTCTGTGGCTCTGCTTCCTCCAGAAAGGATCTAATTAACTTAAAACCAAAAAAGCCTGCCAGAGCTATGAGCAGAGCTCTGAACTTGGGAAAGAGCCAGTCAAGTGGCAATGAAGGTTTTTCCCAGGCATTTGCCAATGGAGGAAGTACATATTGTCCGTTTCTGAATCCAGGGACCTTAGTTTAAAATTTTGCTTTGAAACTGTTTCATTGGCGTGTCGCTGAAGATTATAAAATCACCTCTAAAAAATCATCATTGTCCCATCTCCCAACTGCCATTGTACATAAGGGCAACAGTTTAATAGCATTGCGTAGGGCCCCATGAACTCTAAGGATGGCCCTGGGAGCTGTGTTTTGGTGCATGTGAACCATCAGATGATAAAGACGGAGCTTGCCCTCTCCTGTTTGGCAAATAGTGATGAAAATAATAATAATAATTAATAATAATGTAAACCATTTGATTCTTGATCCAGCGTCAGACTGGTTTCATCAGGGGCTCCATATGCATCTCGAGACATCTGGAAATATGACAGCAGAGCATGGCTTTCAGAATGCAGCCCCATAGAACCCTTGCCAAGGGCTCACTGCTCAGGGCTGCAGGGAAAGCATCATTTTTTTGGGCCCAGTAAAATGTGTCACATGAGTGCCCTCCATGCACATACCATACTTTGGAGCCTGTGCGGGCCCCCTAAGGCCTCCAGGCCTTGGTATGAGTTCCCTTTTCACTTGAAGCGACACATGGGGGTTGTGGGGGGCTCCATGCCTCCCAAATGCTGTGGGTGGAAGAGACAAGGGCTGGCCAGCAGGGTGAGTCTCTGGGAATCGGACTAGCACCCACAGAGGGACTTAGCCCCCCGCGCTCTCCAGCACTGGCAGAGGAAGCAGAGCAATCTGTCCCCAGCTCGCTCTGCAGTCCCAGCACATTGTTTGGGAGGAGGTGGGACCGATCCCACACTCGCTGGCAGGAAGCAGAGCAATGTGCCTAGAGGAGCAGACTGAGTTGGGGAGGGTTGCTCCACTTCCCCCGCTCCTGCTGGTGAGTGTGGGGGGCCAGACCCCCACTGCAAGCACCAGAACCCCAGCTCTGCTAGTCCCCAGGGCTCCATCAATTGGGGAAAGGAGGGGTGGG